ATCATTCTGGTTCCCGAACGCCTCCAGTAGCACTCAATAGCTCCAGAATGAGCTGCTTCAGTCGTCCTAGCATGTCACCAACTCCTCTGGACCGCTGTAGATCACCTGGAATGCTTGAACCCCTTGGCAGCTCCAGAACACCCATGTCTGTCCTGCAGCAAGCTGGTGGCTCCATGATGGATGGCCCAGGTCCTCGAATACCTGATCATCCGAGAACATCCGTGCCAGAAAATCATGCTCAATCTAGAATTGCACTTGCCCTGACAGCCATCAGTCTTGGTACTGCTCGGCCTCCTCCGTCCATGTCTGCTGCTGGTCTTGCGGCTAGAATGTCCCAAGTTCCAGCTCCAGTTCCTCTTATGAGTCTCAGAACGGCCCCAGCTGCCAACCTTGCGAGTAGGATTCCTGCAGCCTCTGCAGCAGCCATGAACCTGGCCAGTGCCAGAACACCTGCCATCCCAACAGCAGTGAACCTGGCTGACTCGCGAACGCCAGCAGCAGCAGCAGCCATAAACTTGGCCAGCCCTAGAACAGCAGTGGCACCTTCGGCTGTGAACCTTGCTGACCCTCGCACCCCCACAGCCCCAGCTGTGAACCTAGCAGGAGCCAGAACCCCAGCTGCCTTGGCAGCTTTGAGTCTCACAGGCTCTGGCACATCCCCAGCTGCTGCAAATTATCCCTCCAGCTCCAGAACACCCCAGGCTGCAGCCCCTGCAAACCTGGTGGGTCCTAGGTCTGCACATGCCACAGCTCCTGTGAATATTGCCAGCTCTAGAACCCCTGCAGCCTTGGCCCCTGCAAGTCTCACCAGTGCTAGGATGGCTCCAGCGTTGTCTGGTGCAAACCTCACCAGCCCCAGGGTACCCCTCTCTGCCTACGAGCGTGTCAGCAGCAGAACCTCACCACCACTGCTAGACCGAGACAGGTCCAGAACACCACCATCTGCCCCGAGCCATTCTAGAATGACATCTGAGCGAGCTCCATCCCCTGCCTCGAGAATGGTCCAGGCTTCCTCACAGTCTCTTCTTCCTCCAGCGCAGGATCGACCTAGGTCCCCTGTACCATCTGCTTTTTCAGATCAGTCCCGTTCTTTGGTTTCCCAGAGCACACCTGTAGCAGGGTCTCAGTCCCTTTCCTCTGGGACTGTGGCAAAGACCATGTCCTCTGCTGGTGACCACAATGGCATGCTCTCTGGCCCTGCCTCTGGGGTGTCCCACCTTGAGGGTGGGGAGCCACCTGCTTCTACTGGGGCCCAGCAGCCTTCTGCATTGGCCGCCCTGCAGCCAGCAAAGGAGCGGCGGAGTTCCTCGTCGTCCTCGTCCTCCTCCAGCTCCTCCTCTTCATCATCATCGTCATCGTCATCCTCCTCCTCCTCTGGCTCCAGTTCTAGCGATTCGGAGGGCTCCAGCCTTCCTGCTCAGCCTGAGGGAGCACTGAAGAGGTGAGGGAAGCTTCCTTTCAGAAATCTTCTAGGGAGAAGGTATTGGGGATTGGTTGGGGAGTGGGGAGGGACAGAAACAATGTCACAGAGGTTCTTGGTTCTTTGAGGAGGTATGGGGACCTTGACCCTCAAGATGGGGGTAGAAGAGAATGCTGGGGTGGGGGTGAAGGGGGGAGGAAGGGGACGGATAAAAGTCTCCGAAGGTTAATTCTCTAGAGGATAATGATAAGTTTTCCGTCTCTACAGAGGACAGAACTAGAGGAAATGGACTTAATTTTACAGCAGGAGGGATGGCAGTTAGACCTCAAGAGGAACTCCCTGGGCTGGAAGGATCTTCAGAGGTCATCCCATCCCTCTCCCTGCCTCCAGGCAGGACGGCCCCTGCCCCAGCCAACCTGCACTCACAGGGGCCTACCCAAGCTGCGGCTCTCCGAGGAAGGAGACTACCCAGCTTCAGCTTCCACACCTGAGCCCAGAGGCCTTATTCCTCATCAGGGACATTCTTGAGGTTTAACCTTGATCCCTTGTGCTGCGGGCCCCAGCCTGTTGCTTGTGTTAGCAGAGGTTGGGTCAGCTCGGGCCACTGCTCTCCAGAGAATGCGCTCACTGAGCTCCCAGGGCCTTTCTCAGGCACCCCTCCCCCACTGCCGTTCCTCCAGGCCAAGGAAGGTAGGGTTGGGGCTGGGGCAGCTTGTCTCTTTGTGACACTCCTCTTCTCCCACAGGGTCCCCAGCCCCATCCCAGCCCCAAAGGAGGCTGTTCGAGAGGGACGTCCTCAGGAGCCAACCCCAGCCAAACGGAAGAGGCGCTCTAGCAGTTCCAGTTCCAGCTCCTCCTCCTCTTCTTCTTCCTCCTCCTCCTCTTCCTCCTCTTCCTCTTCCTCTTCCTCCTCCTCTTCTTCCTCTTCCTCCTCTTCCTCCTCCTCTTCCTCCTCCCCCTCCCCTGCTAAGCCTGGCCCTCAGGCCTTGCCCAAACCTGCAAGCCCCAAGAAGCCACCCCCTGGCGAGCGGAGGTGAGTGGTGCCTTGCTTGAGATGGAAGGGGTCAGGGCTGACATCCACAGAAGGGTCCCTGGGCTGTGAGATTCCTGCTGGGGTGTCTCAAGTAGACTTGGTGTCTGGTTGTATAGGAGGAGTCGGGTGTTCTTTCTCCATCTACTCCGTTGTGTCCTATTCTGCTAAAGGGCTGTACCACCCAGATTAGGTGCTCAAGCCAGAATTGGGGAGTGCTAGGTTTCTTCCTCTCCCTTTCTCCCAAAGTGCAGCCTGACCCCAGGGATTCTGGCTTTAAGTCTCCCCATTGCTACTGCCAGGGCTCTGGTCTGGCCACCGTCATCTTCTCCCGACTCTGTCCACAGCCTCTTCCCTGTCTCCCCGCCTCCACGCCATTCTCTTCCACACGTAGCCAGAGGAATCTTTCTAAAACGCACATCTGGTTACTTCCCTCCACTTCACATATCCTTCCGGGACGCCCCGTGGCCTGCAGGATAAAGCGCCACCTCTGCGGGAATGGCGTGTGAGGCTCTTCACCAACTGGCCTTGCCTGCCCTGTGTTCTCCTCTCCTGCCCGCCCCCACACATGCCCTGTGCTCCAGCCACATTCAGCGCCTTGCAGGCTAAGGAGAGCCCCATGCCTTTGGACATGCTGTTCCTTCTGCCTGGAATTCTCTTGTCCGCCTGGTGAACTCCTCGTTCTGCAAGACTCAGCTCAAACAGCACCTTCGAGAAGACTGCCCTGCCCCTTCCCTGCCCTGCCCCACGTCCCCTCCCCTGGGTCTCTGACCCACACACATCCATCCCTGCCGGCTGCTTCCCACACACGGCCCGGCGTGCCTCCCTTGCTGGCTTCCTTCTCCACCAGACTGAGCTCCTTCTCCAAGGGCAGGGACTGTCTTTATCTTTTGCATCCCCCGCTGCACCCTGTGCCCTGCCCACTGGGGCACTCAGTGGATGTTGTGCGGGCGGATGGGTGAGTGAGCGGACAAAGGTGGGTCTGAGGCTGGCCCTGTGTGGTGTGAGGTTTGGTGGTCAGGACCTGGGTGGGTGGTCCTGAGTGCCAGCTGGTGGGTTTGAAGGGTATGGTGCTATGGGGTCCTGCTCTGCTCCCCAGGTCCCGCAGCCCTCGGAAGCCAATAGACTCCCTTCGGGACTCTAGGTCCCTCAGCTACTCACCTGTGGAACGTCGCCGGCCATCGCCCCAGTCCTCACCACAGGACCAGCAGAGGTAGGGCCAACAGCAAGTGTCAGCAGCCACCCTGGTCTAGCAACCATATCTTCTGCAAAAAGTTCCAAGGCCTAGCAGTGTCTGAGGTTGGTGCCACCCTGTGTTTTGACGTATGTCCTGTGTTGCAGGAGCAGTAGTGAGCGGGCTTCCCGGAGAGGCCAGCGTGGAGACAGCTGCTCCCCAGGCCACAAGCGCAGGAGGGAGACACCTAGTCCCCGGCCCATGCGACACCGCTCCTCCAGGTGTGTGGCCCCCTTTTCTCCTGAGAGCTGGTTCTGGGCGAGGGGGTTGGCACCGTTCTTGGAGTGCCTCAGGGAGATGAGCTTGAGGTGTGGGTCCTCTGTATTGATCCGATCTTCTCTGTTGCAGGTCTCCATGAATCTTTGGGGGTTCTGCCACACCCCGAGCTCTGGAGCCACAGGGAGTGTCCCCCTTTTCCTTGACAGAGCCTTGGGAGGGGTCCTTGCCTGACCCCCCTTGAACCCTGGCAGCATCTTGGGAGGGCTCCCTTCTTTCCCTCGTTTTGTTTTATCCTTTGTTCCTGTGAAATGTTAATCTCTGTGAGTTTTTCCTGGTTCATGTGTTTTGGGAGGGGCGTTGGGGTGGGACAGACAGAAGCAGTTGGGAGTTGGGGGAGGGGAGAATACAGTTCAAGACACGCTGGCCTGGATGGAGTCAGAAAGGGCCTGGGAGGCATGGCCCCCTTGGTATTCCCTAAGTCCTTGAGGGGTGATGGTTTGGGGCTGGGGACATTCTGTGTGAGGTCTTCTTGGAAGGAAGGGGCAGGAGTTGAAAATAAGTTGGTCCCTACTGCCCCCCATGAGGTGGTGGCCCCCTCCCCCTAATCTTTCCTCACGTTTCTTAAAGGCATTTTGGTTTTTTAAAATCTGTACAGCAAGAGCAACTTTTTCTGTCAAATAAAAATGAGAAATGCAGGAACTGGTCTGTAGATTATTAGGGGTGGCAAGAGCACACTGGAGAGGAGCTGCCTTCCACCTTGGCAGGATCTCCCGAGGGCTGTGGGGGCAGCTTTAGGCTGTGGTGCCCTCAGGGACTCTGCTCTCAAACCAGGACACTGGCTCCAGCTTATGCTTTTGCTCCTGGCTTTTGCCCCTTAGCCTAGAAGACTTGGGGCAGGAATAGGAGCCCTTGTGAGTAGGCATGCTGGTGGGAGAAGGGGACACCTTGAAGGAACAAAGCCTGAACTCTTCTGCCTGCCTGCTGGGACGAGCTGGTGGGAGTGGCTCAGGGCAGTCCCAACCCCCAGGGTCTGGAAGACAGGACAGTAGGAGTTCTGGTATGCATGAGAGGGCACTGAGAAAGAAGCAGCAGCCAGGCAGATGTCCAAATCTCTTTTATTGGGGGGAATGGGTCTCGGGTGGGCAGGAGGCCCTCACTGCACAGCCTGTTCATTGGCGCTGCTTCCTGAGTCTTGTGGCTTCATCACGTCAGGCAGCTCAGGTGGGCTAGAGAAGGGCTCGATGCGCAGGGCCTCAAAGGCATCATCTGTGGGGGAGGGGCAGAGCTGAAGGGGGTCCACAACTCTTGCCCCAGCTGGGGCTTGACTTTACCTGGGATAACCTATAGCTTTGGGGAACCTCTGTGCAAACATCTGCCCCTGCAATGAGTCTCATCCATAGTCCTGATCTCCCTACATCCAGGGGCCTAACTGGCCCCACTGGAATGTCTCCCACACCTACAGGCCCAACCTGACCATGGTTGCTGGCATCCATCTGCCCTGTATCCACAGCCACTGCCACCCTTCACCTACGATTTGCCTGTCTCATCATTTCCTTCACACATCTCCAAGCAGCCAGCGACTGTAAATCAAACTAGACTCTACTCCCCTGCTTAAAACCTTTCAATGGCTTCCCATCACACTCTGAAAAAAATCTCAAGTCTTCACCATTGTGTCTCTGCAATCATCTACCGTGTTCTCAAGACTTGCTCCTTTGTTCTCACACCAGCTCTTTCCTGCCTCAGGCCTTTATATTTGCTGCCCCAACACCTGCCACTCAGAATGGCTGGCTGCTGCTGGGCATTCAGGGTTCAATTCAAACGTCTCCACCTTAGAGAAACCTTCCCCACCTACAAAGTTGTGTCTCAACACCCTGGGCACTGCTATGGCAGCATGTACCACTGGCCAGAATTTCCCTGTTTTCTTTTGACCAGCTGCTTTCTCACTAGAACAATGGCTCCAGGAAGGCAGAGAGGCCTTTCCTATCCTGTTGCCACTGTCACCTCAGCACAGAGCACATGAACCCCACAACTTTTTTCATGTGCTTTATCCCACAGACTTCTCTTGGCTTGGGATTTTCAACTGAGGAGGCCCGCTAGAGAAAGTTGGCAAGTCTGGAGACAGTTTTGATTGTCACGACTGGGGGGCTGTTGGGGGATGGGCTGCAGCTGGTATCTAATGGCCAGAGGCCAAGAACGCTGCTAACAACCTGCTGGGCACAGGACAGCGCCACCCAGAGTCAGCCACCCCGAGTCACCTGGCCCCCAACGCTAACAGTGCTGAGATTAAGAAATCTGACCCAGCTTAATCTACTTCATTGTCCAAGCCATAGTCTGTAGTGACAATTTCTATCTTCACCACCTCTCGCATTCTTTGGAGATTATTCTGGACGCTGTTTTCTCCCTAACTGAGCACCTGGTTTTGGGGAGGGAGAGAGGTCTGTGTTTCATCCTGCATGGGCACTGAATGGTGGAGGGTGGAGTACCTAGCCAAGATCCAGGAACCTATGTGCTGATTGGTGCACCTGCACCCAGAAGTGCATCTTTGCAAGTAAAGCAGTCCATTCGGCAGCAAAGAGCTGCCCATCAAGACCGCCGTTACCTGCCTGAGGGATAATGCAACCCAGGGTCTAGGGTTACCACCATGTTCGATGCCATATGGGGGCTATAGGGAAAAACAAGTCACCTCCCTTAGCCTTGACTTTTTCATCAGCAGCAAAGTGGATCTACCGGGCCGGCCCGGTGGCGCACTGCTACAGTGCGCCGCTTGGGAGCGCAGCGGCGCTCCCGCCGAGGGTTCGGATCCCACATGCAGACCGGCCGCTCACTGGCTGAGCGAGGTGCGGGTGCAACACCGAGGGTTGCGATCCCGTTGCCGGTCCTGGTCCGGTACGGGTGCGACACTGAGGGTTGCGATCCGTTGCCGGTCACGAAAAAAGACAAAATAGGAAAAAAAAAAAAAAGTGGATCTACCAACATCTTCCAAGTCACAGCAAACTTCTAGGGTGCCTTGTTCGAATTAGAGAAAGGGATACTACTTGTAAGAGAATGCAGCCCAGCCTCAGCTTAGGAAGCAGACCAGATGTGCTTTCAGCCCTCACCTGCCCACCTCAGAAGGGCATCACTGTCTAAAGCCTGACCTGTACAATGTCTGCACCAGCCCTGCACCTGCTTCTCAGCGTCACTATGCGGGCAGAAGGCCCTTAAATTCCCGTCCGCTTAGCACTTGCAGCAGACTGAACCTGCAGTGCCTGCCTTACTATGAGGCTGGTCCTATCACACTCTTTAAGGAGAAGGGAATGCAAGGCTGGGAGTGGCAGGAATGTGAAGTGGCTGGCCCCAGGACACAGTTGTTGAGGCCGAGGCCGAGGCCTAGTCCAGTTATCCATATAAAATTAAAAAGTTTAGCTAGGACGGTACCCTTCCTCCTCTGCCCTTGCTACGTTCTCTTACAAGAAGGCAGAAAAATAATTCCTTGTAAGTATCCAAGTTTCCCCAGCCATCCACACACCCTGGGTCCACAGCTATGAAAGCATACACCCACCCTTGTATCTATGGAGCAGCCTGCTAAGTGCCTCACTCTTAAGAATCCTTCAGTAAACATTTATTAAATTAAATTGAGAGCCTCCTGTCCTTGCCCTCAAGGAACATGGTTGGAGGAGAAATTAGAAAACATGCGTGATAAGTTAAGCAACAGTAGAAGATTTTTTATTTATTTATTTATTTATTTATTTATTTATCTTTTTTTTTTTTTTAAAGATGACCGGTAAGGGGATCTTAACCCTTGACTTGGTGTTGTCAGCACCACGCTCAGCCAGTGAGCGAACCGGCCATCCCTATGTGGGATCCGAACCCGGGGCCTTGGTGTTATCAGCACCGCACTCTACCGAGTGAGCCACGGGCCGGCCCGAAAGCACAGCTTTACGACCCCTGTTTTAAGTTCCGCAGACAACGAATAAAATTTAAAATCTCCCCTTCCTTTTTCTTGGGTGGAGGGAGATATATTGGAGGGAAGCAAACCACTTCCCAACCCTCAGGTTTCTACAACTTGGGCAGGGGTGTGGTGTGGTTGACAGCACAGGCTCTGGATCTGAATCCTGGATTTGGCAGTCCCAGCAAGTGCCCTACTTCCCCAGGTTCATGTTTCTCATCCTTAGAACTGGCACAATCCAAATCTCAACTACACAGAAATGCTGGGGGATAAAGTGATGTTCTGCACAGACAGAGCATGGCACAATGTCCAGCTCCAGCAAGGGCCCAGCAGCCTGCAACTCAACTGTGGCTCTCCATGTGACTGCCAGCAAGCCTCAGTGTCCTTGTCTGCAAAATGGCTACTGAGGAGGTTAGATGGGACAAAGCAAGTAACACATGGAGTGCAGGGTCAGGTGCTCAGTAAGTCCTCTGTAAATGTAAGCTAATCGTGACTTGGGATCTTTGAATCCTTTATGAAACAGGCTTCAATTTCTATAAGCACCTCATTTGCTTGCTTTTTTTTTATGGAGAAACAAATACACTATCAGAGGATATTGCCTGCCCTTTGTGGACTGGAAAGACACTGCCTTGCAGGCTTGGAGGAGCTACCACAGGTTCCCTGAAGATCCTTTTCTTTAGCTATTCCCACGCCACCTGGCTGCCACACATAGCCCAGGCCACTCTCACCTGCTCGGAAGGCCAGCCCCACCGTGGCTGGGGCCTGTGGCCGTGCTGTTTGGCTGGTGAAGCCACATTCACCCAGTGTCTTGCTGTCATCCAGGAGCTGATCATCCTGAGGAGAGAGACAGGGTAATGGGAAAGGCGCCAGGAGGGACAAGTCCCAAAGACCTCTCTGGCCAGCAACTACACAGGAATTCAGAGGAGGGAAGACAAACAGTCCCAAGTATGGCCCAGGACCACCCTAGAGAATATCAAACACACAGATTCCAGGGCTACATCGAAGAAATTCTAAATCATAAGCTCCCTGGGTGGGGCTCTGGAATCTGATTTTTCCAAACTCTCCAGGCAAATCTAATTTCAGAGCCACTGACCTCGTGTGGAGAAAGGCAGTCCTTGGTTTGAATCCCAGCTCTGCCACCTTGGACAAGTTCCCTAATCCGTTAAATGGCAATCACTGGAATTCCCAACTCATAGGGCAGCCAGAAGGTTTCAATGAGCTAAGGAGGCACAGAAAGCACTAAATACAGTATGTGGCACAGGGGCATGCAAAGGCAGCAGGAAGGGCCATCGTTATCAGGGAAGCCTCAGTAGGTATTAGGGAGAAAAGGCCTTTAGAAACCAAGGAAGCTGAGACTCTGAGCCTAGAGCAAAAAGTAGAATCAGATCGATGCACTTAGGTGACGACCTCATGCTGCTGCCAGACATGAAATCAGGGGTTGATGCATGTGGCTCCCCAATGAAGAACCCAAAACCCCAAGCCATCGTTACTGAACAATTGCAACTGGTTTGTAAGGGGAAAGGGGGGACTTCTAGAACATCAGGAGGTTGAGGTAATAAACAGCCGCTTGCAGAAGGACTGGTGGAACCAGAACCTGATTTATCTTTGACACCCTCCATTTCTTACATTAATTGAGTCCCCCACCCCTCACCCGCAGTAGTGTCTGGGGGGCAGCGTGATTCTGACGGGCCTGTAGAGTAAGATGGGGATTATGGGCATCGCGGTTCAAATCGGGGCTCTGCCAATGACCTTCGGCTGGTTAAGTGACCACCCCGCCGAGTATCAGTTTCCCTAACTGCATAACTGGGCTGTCCAGAGCCAGCGGGTCGCGGGCGGGACCGTTGCAGAGGTTAGCTGCCACGGTGCCCCTCCGAGCCCAGGGCCTGGCATGCGACTTAAAAACCCATCCCGGACGCGGCCTCCCGCGTCCCGAGAGACGCTCGTGCTTCACCCGCCCAACGGATGCCCCAGCCCGCGGCTTGGACCGGGCCGCCGGCCGCTGTGTACGTCGAGGACGCGCCGCCGTCGCGCCCCACGCCGGGCCCCGCCGCCCGACCGGGTCCGACCGCGGGGGCCCTCACCTTGTACAGCCGCTGCTCGTCCGGCGGCCGCTTGAGAATGCCCTCAACTATGCGCTTCAGCTCGAACACGGTGCTCGACTCC